AGAGAGAGAGAGAGAGAGAGAGAGAGAGAGAGAGAGAGAGAGAGAGAGAGAGAGAGAGAGAGAGAGAGAGAGAGAGAGAGAGCAAGAGAACGAGATGAGAGAAAGAGAGAAAGAGGGACTGAAAGAAAGAAGAAAGAACGTGAGAACGAGATGATAGAAAAAGAGGAGGAGAGAGAGAACGAAAGAGAGAGAGAGAGAGTCAAAAAGACTTACCAGGAAGCCATTGGAAGGGCAATGAAATCCTTGTCCCTCCTGATAAAAATGAAATAACTTGAATGTTGCGACTCTGGCACCCCTTGATATTGATGTTTCTTTGCACTATCCTCCAGAATCCAGGGCTTCGATTTGTACCTTTCCTGCAGTGTGGGGTTACATCGAAAGACCAGAACCAAAGCTCGAGTCACATGATCCCTTATTACTGAATTCATCAGGTTAGCAGTCCCTTTCAAATACTCTATTTATTTTGTTTGAGACAGCAGGGGCCGTGAGATATTGGCACTGACTGGCACGCCCCAATTAGTGTATTATCGCCATTCCCATCACATCACAATCAATGTTTTCGCATTCAGAAGGATTTGAATTCCTCATCTGTCGATCAAGGTTACATATAAAGCCACCAAACACGTCGTTCTGACAGCCTGTCCCACCATGACTCCCTCCTCTTCCTATCCCAAAGAATGAGAAGCCGGCAAAGGAAAAAGATAAAAGCACACTGAAGAGAGGTGGCAGAAGAAGAAGAAGCGGAAAGGTTAAAATAGCAACCAAGCAAAAGCACAAGAGGAAGGGTAGCAGTAGAAGATGATGAAGAAGATAAAAAAGAAGAAGACACGACGAGGAAGACGAAAAAGAAGAAGACAGTTTCATCTCGATTGACTGAATGGAGCTATACGGTAGTAGGTACACATGTAGCAGAGAATCTGCAAGAAGACCTATAAGATCCAGCCTTGTAAGATTTACTTGGAGAGTCATGGTACACATGTAGATGTCGGAAAACACCTGCCTTAATGGAATTCGAATCTGAGTCAGACACCATAATAATTCAGTTTAAAACAGCACTACGGTGGCCTAGAATGCCATTCTTTTTGCTTCAGTAGTAAGGTATCAGACTCAGACTCAAAGTCCATTCAATTCATCCCTCCCCAAAGACCGCAGAGATAACAATAGTTCATTCAGTGTGCCGCATTGCCAAATACAAACCCTGATTCAGGAAGAGACCCCATAGCTTCCCCCCCTCCCTCCCTCTTCCCTCCCCTCACCAACCCACCCCCCGGAATGGATCACATAGCACCAATATTGCACCTGGAGCCTCAAAAGTACACTTGTGTGGCGTTCAGTCTCTCACGCAACAGGAGCTCGGGTCATTATATTCGTAGTCAGGGTCACTTTCAGGACATGCCTTCTATTTGGGGGGGGGGAACAGTGTTCAAATACGGGCAGAATGCTGGACAAAAACGAGGAAAGCGAGAGGGCGGGGGGAGGAGAGGGAGGGGGCAGGGAAGAGCGGCAGAGGAAGAACGGAAGAGACAAAAGAGTAAAGAAATAGAGAGGGAAACAGAGAGGAAGGAGGAGGAGAAGAAGAATTTGGACAGAGTGTGCGCACAGGCACAAGTGAGAAGCAGAGAACAAACTCTGGCAGCATCTGTGAGCTGTCTCCCCTGCGCTCCTTCTCGCCACATGGACCATTTCACATCCGTCTTCCTGGACAATCCAGGCAGACCCTGCCGGAAGTTCCCAACAAAGTAATTCTTCAGGTTTGCGCTCGTTCGCACGGTATACTCCTGACAGACCAATGCACACGCACACGCACACAAACCCACAACCACCAATCCACCAAACCCAAATACAGACACACACACACACACACAGAGAAAGAGATAAAACCACGATTAAAACAGTGCTGCTATCAGAAATAGGTACCGCATTAGAAACTGGCTGAGAACCATTTTCTGGTTGGGGGAGGGCGACGGCCGGCCGGAAACTGATTCTCTCTCTCTCTCTCTCTCTCTCTCTCTCTCTGTGTGTATATATTGTCACAGAACTATTGACTAAGAGCGTAAGCATGTGAAGTAGAAGAAGAAATAAGATGAGCGAAGAAAAGAAAAATGAAAGGACAGAGAGGCAAAGAGACAGAGAAACCAGAATGACACAAAAAGTTTCCTCTTATTCTTTGTTTCACAGGATTATTAATTCTTTCAGTGTTTTACAAAAAAAAAATTACACTGGATCAAAGGATAAAAATAAAAAACAAAGACACATTGAAATCATTCAGTTTCTCAGTCTTCTTAACGCCTCCTCCACTATGCCTCTAACATACAAGGCTCGCCACGTTGATGAAGTTGA